TAGTATTGCATAAAGTTTGAAACCAGGACCTTTACGGGGGTTGTTAAAGAAAAAGCTATATTTTTTATAAGAAATATCTAAAATTAAATAACAAACAAAAAAATTCAATAGGTATGTGGGGCGCTTATGGTCACAGCACGGGGTGACTACTTTCTTATTATTCATTTTATTAACCTGAAAACTTTCTTGCGTCTGAGACTCTTTTAGATTGGCAAATTCTTAACAATATAAATACGGTTAAAAAAAATTAAAATGATTAATTACACTTTTTTTTCTTCTGTCTTGCAATTTATCAGACTCTCCCAAACCGCGTTCAACAGCTCATTTTTCACTTAAATCAGCAGGGTTGAAGTCAAGGTTTAATTTTTTGCAAATCGATATTTTTGAAATACTACTCAAAAGGTAGAATAGTGTAATTTATAATTGAAATATCAAGCCACAAATTATTTATTGTCTACTGATTATTGTGGGACCCTGTGTTCTGTGAACAGCATAAAAAAAAAATGTTACCTTTCACATACCTACAAAAACTTCTACTCACTTTTTAAATTGTGAAATCCTTATTTATCCCGACAATGCCTTAACGAAATCCATTTCGCGCTACCTACCCTCATTTTCGCTTGTATATATGTATGTACATACGTAGCCATGTCAGTAGCATTGTATGCACATTTGGAAGAAGAAAAAAAAAATTTTGAAATAACAATAATCCGAAGCACCGTCGTTTATGTCAAACTGTCAAGATATCACTTGGATTGAAGCATTTGTTGCTCATTGGTACAACTACATACATACGTATATATGTACAAACATATGTACGGAGAAGTGCACATATCTGACATGCGACATTCGACAGTAGGAAAACGAAATTCATGCTCGGTCATATGTCGATTTTCAAAAATCGATGGATTAACTATATATACACGGTATGTATGTATATGTCATATCTTTAATTCCCGTTTGTATTTCATTCAGGTGATTGGCATTCCAAATTCTGTCAAAAATAAATGTTTAACATCAAGTTTACGCTTTACTTACTAATCGCGCATTCCATTTAGAATTACTACGTTTTGTATTTATTCATACAAAACTCTGTATTTATGTAGATACAAAAATACAAAGAAATGTTGCCTGTCAATTTCGATTTTTGAGCTGCTTTATACTCGTCGTAGAATATCTACTTTTAAGTCCTTAGGGGATGAATATTTCATATGAATTTAAATTTTTTTGTATCAATGGTTACAGTGCGTAGCGAAAATGGTATCTTATTTTCAAAATTTTTTTTTTCTGTCGCTACAATTGGTGACATTAGCTCGAGTCGACGAAAGAAAGCCCCAGCGGCTTTGTCGCATGGAATTCTTTGATTGTACACGATAGTATTGTATTTTTGCGGCTAGAGGAAAGAAGGGATAAGCCATGTAAAGAATTGCAATAAGGATATCTATTATTTGCGTGCGTTTGTTTTATTGTTTGAAAAAAAAAAAATGCAGAATTTGTCCCCAATAAACTGCCACAAAGCATACAAATGTCACGAACGTCGCATAGCTGCTCCTGGTCTTCTTTTGATCTCTGGCGAATGCGCTCACAAAAGAGTCGAGATCAATTTTGCGGCCAAATTTTGTTCTGGCGATGATGTCCGCATATAGTGATCTTCCGCAACTCTATACACTATACTGATTTTTTTTCTCCTATTGACAGCGCTATCTTTCATTGATATTGTAAGTCATGCATACCTTTTTCAACCACAATTTATTGATCCTTTTAAAAAGAATAGTTCACTACAACTACTATACACTATTCTTTTTTCCAAATGAATTGCCATTGATTACTTTTTGGTCAGGTTAGCCGCATACTTAGTACATTAAGTTATAGATTTTAAAAGGTGTACATCTGGCTTATGCACTTATAGTGTTTATTGTGCCGGCCGCATAAATCGCATACACACCAGCAAGCGGACGTGACAAAGAGCCGAGTGCACCTTAGCAACATTTCCTAGCCCATGTGCAGTTGTAAGGTTTTCAAACTCAAAGGTTTTTTTCCTCGATATGATGTTAGAATTCAAGAAACAGCGAAGAATGTACATACACTAACTAGAATATGTTTCTCTTTTAAATATTTGCAATGCTTTTCGTAATAAATTTTTTTCGTTAAGTTTTAATAGAAATATAGTTCATTCTGCTATAAATTAATGCTTCAAAGTTTTTACAAAATTTAGGAAAACTCGACAAATTTTCACCAAAATTTTCAACTTTTAAACAAATTTTTTTTAGAATTCACTTAATTTCAGTATGATAAAGTGCAAGTTTTAAGGGAATTTTATTTGCTGATGATGCTGCTCGTTTTTTCCATATAACGGATGCGTGATAGTTTTTTTGTATGAGAAAGTCAGTAAAAAAAATCTCAATAAAACACGGTAGATTATAGCCACTGAAAACTTGCACTTTATTATACTGAAACTGAGTGAGCTACAAAACTGCATACTCAACTATTCTGCATTCTACTAAAATTCTAAATTTTTTTTTAAAAGTTGAAAATTTTGGTGAAAATTTGTCGAATTTTGTTAAAATTTTGAATCATTAATTTATATGCCATTTGATGCAGAATGAACTATGTTTCTATTAAAAATTAACGAAAAAAATTTATTACGAAAAACATTGCAAATATTTAAAAAAAAAACACTGTATGCAAACATATTCTGGTGAGTGTATATGCATGTTTTTAGAAAATTAAGTCAAAAAATTTAAGAAGGAAAAAATTCTTCCGAGGTAAAATTAGTTGAAAATATTTAAATGTCTAAGCAGGAATTGAAAAGCTGTGGATCCCCTTTTAACCGCTTATTTGGCACCAAAAGTGAACAGCGAAGAAGCTTTGAAATATAATTTGAACACAGCTTCGTTCGGACGAGCTCTTTGGTGAGAATACTTCGAAATTCTATGCTCTTTTTGCTTTTTCTTCACTCAAATCACTAAAAGGAAAATTTAATGAAAAGACTTAACTTGTCTACTATACATATATGTAAGTATCTAATGTCTTCTGCCATCTTTAACCGCAGCTGAAAGCTGAGCAAAAGGTCTTCGTTATTATACAATGCGGGTTTTTCTAATCTTTGCAGCTTCGTTCAGGCTTAATCAACAATAAAATTGTATTAAAGTAAAAATTACGTTGACTTGCATCGGATGAGCTCATCAAAGAAATCACTATCGCCAAATTTGACATCATATTAGCTAGTGCCGATCAGTCCCAAATAAAATCGCCTGCCTCTAATATATGCCACGAACTCTTCTGTCATAGTCTGGTGGCCTGTACTGATGTAGTTAGATATTACAAAGAATAATGGCACACCATGTCACCCATGGCTTCGTGTAAAAACTGGCTAAAAATTGTTGTTGACAGCCCTCAATTTCTGTGCTTTTCTGCAGCCGAAAGGGTGCAAAGTTTGGCGGTGATGTATACTTCCCGTATTGGAGTAGTTAGAGGTGTACTTATACTACCATCCCATAATACAAGTTCGACGCTTGGTCGACAAAATATTTGAGCGCTGGAATTTTCTTCTAATATTTGCAATGAAAAGTGTCTCATCGGCTTTCTTCTAAGATGCCGGTTAAATATGGAAACTAGTTTATATGAAGTTTTAATTCCTTCAATGAAATCGATGTTTTGACATCCTCAAGGAAAGTTTCAGTGGCTGCAACATTAGAAAGATTACCTCTTTTTTCACAACTACATACGTACGGCGCATAGCGGTGGCGAGAATGTAAATAGTGAAAAGACATTTAAGCACATTTTGGCTACTTTTGTTTGTTTAAAAAATGTTTATTATTTTTCTATGAAAATATAGCTGCTATTATCTAAACAAAAAACTTGCAAATCAAAATTTCAAGCTTTGTAGAACATTTATAAAAATTTGACGAATCTTATGCCGATTTCGTTTCTACCAAAAAATGCAACCTTCTCTTTACCCACTACGCACAAACGCTAATAAGAGGACGATGAGAAAGCAACATTTCTTGTAGAAACGAAATCACCATTACATTAACAAATGTTCCTCAAAATTTAAAACATCTTAATCAGATTTTTTAGAAAGATTTTGAGTATGAGAAACAAAGCAAAAAAAAATTCCTAAGATCAACGGTAAGTGCTATATACTTAAAATTTGCAATACTTAAATTTAATGGGCTACAAAACTGCATACTCAGAATGTTTCTAAGAAATCTAATTAAAAAGCTCAAACTTGGATGAAAATTTGTCGAATTTTTCTAATTTTTGTACAATGCTTGACTTAATGGTTTTTGTTAGATACCTACCGATCTACTCTTTCATAAAAAAAGATAATAAACATTAAATAATCGAACCGAAAATATCAAAAGAATTCTAAAATGTCTCATTCCTACTTATATTCTCGCCACTGCATAAGCGAGGCAAGATGACCACAAGTGCTGCAACCTAGTCTCATTCCGTAATTTCGAAGAACTTACGAAAAAGTATTTTTTTTTTTGTTAACTTTGCTTTTGTTGGTTTAAACAAAGTGATCAGACAAACTATTTCAATATTTGCAGTATGCCCAATAATTACTTTCATACCAATACACATTTTAGTTTTCCAATCGATATCTAATGGTCAGACAATTTTCACTATGCCCCCACTTGAATTCCAAAGCATCCGAAACAAATCACTTCACAATTCTCGCTAAATTACACTTTACAAGCTTCCACATCCTTTTTCATTCAGTGAGTTTCAATTAAGAAAAGTACTTTCTATTGGCTTATTTAACAGATTGCAACAACTTTTACACGCACACTTAACACATACTCCACCAACACTCTCACTCAACCGCTCTCCCTCTATGTTTGTTTTTTTTTTTGTTTTTTTTGCTGTCGAACATGAAGTTCAACGTTTGTCCTTTCGTGGCAATAAAATCTAGACAAAAAACGAAAAACTATATTATCCACATTTTTAATCTCCTTTTTCACTCATTTCTTTTGCTTTCTTTTTCGTTACAGCTAAGGTTTAGTTACTGCAATTGACTTCAATCACATGTGACAACAGCAGGAGAAGATAAGAGCAGAGCCGAGTAGAGAGAAAAAAGGTCACAATCAAAGCAAAAGGATAGCGAGTTGAGGGATATTCAACAAAAAATGTGTCGGCACATCAGATTGTGCTGAAAAATAAATTCCTGCACACATAGTGATAATCGTATAAAAGATTGCAGAGAGACAGAACAATTTTACACGCTCAAGGCTCGTAGCTGTATGTGTGTGTGTGTGTGAGCGCGTACTTATGTCCTTGTATGATTGTATGGCATAAAATTTTAAACAGCAGGAGGGTGGAAGAGCGGAGAAGCGAAGGGAAAGGCAGAAGGATAGGAAGAGAGGACGAGAGGACGTAGGTGCCGTCGATTCGGGTGAAAACGGTTTCAAACTCAACTTAAGTACACATTTTAAGTCGTACTGCAGTGGCAGGCACACACACACGGCGCAGCGCAATGAAGGCTAACTAATCCGCTGCTAAGCGATAAAAACTAACTAAAGTAACTGTGAAAAGAAACTACAGCAACAAAAATTACTTGTGCAAAGTTTATAGCAAAACAAAAAAAAAACGAACTAATAGCAGCTAAGCATAGTCGGAAAAAAAGTGCAAAACAAAAAGTAAATAAAATGCCTGCCATACCAAGTGAAATATCAACGCCCGCGCCAACCCGCAGCCTGCGACCCATCAGGTCGGCAGTGCTTAAAGCTGCAACAGCAGCCGCCACAATACTCACATCCGCAGCAACAGCAGCGGCAGGGGCAGCAGCAGCAACATCATACTCAACAACTACAACAACAGCAACTAAGGAAGCAGTGCCATCCAGCATCAGTGGCAACGGCATCGGCAGCATCAGCTACTACAACCACAATAGCATATCAACTCAACAGCCGGATACATTGGAACGACGATTGCAACCAGATGTCGATACGGATACCGGAGGTGGAAGTAGAGTAGGCGTAAATGTTGTTGATCCCAATGCCACACTGCCCAACCGCCTCGCCAATATGTTGCTATCCAATTTTCTGCCTGCCATCGATGCTGTCACAAATATAAACCGAACCGGTAGCAGTAGCTCAAGTAGCAGTAGTGGTGGTGGTGGCGGTGGAGTCGGAGTTGGAGGCAGCAGTAATGCTGCTGCTGCGCCTGTCACATATCCAACCTTCCGGCCGCCAAGCATAGAAAATCTTGTCGCCAGCTCAGCTGAGGATTTGAACAATTTTCGTGATGTGTCCTTCGATATATTCGACGACGATGACGATTTGTTTGGCTCACCATTGGCGTTTGACGCCAGCGAGAATGGCTTATGGAATGGACGTTTTGTGCCGCCACCACCGCGGCCACCCTTCTTTCCCGATGAACCGGTGCTGAGTGATGGACTGACAACGTGTGATTTGTGCTCATGGGCTATGCCTACGAAGAGTACATTTATATTCGAGGGCACAATAGGTGAGTAAAGTGGGCGTGAAAGCGTGGGGTGAGTGCTGAGTGGTTTAGTGTAAAAGTATACTGCCATTAAGTGAAATTGAATTGGAATGTGGGGTGGAGTGGCATGGAGTGCGAGTGCGAGTGCGACTGATGCAAGGTGCTTGGACACCAGATGGGCGAACGTGTGTGGGTGTACTATGTGATTGCAGTGGTTAAGGATGAAGTTTGCGAATGTTTGTGCTTGTGGTTATGTGTATGTGCTTTGCAATCATTGTCTATGCAAATGTTTTAAGGTATGCATGGAAAAAAGGATTCGTTGCTGTCAGCGCATTTACGAGGCGGAGACAGCTAAAGGCTTTAGGTGCTTTTCCGGAACTGTGCATTGAATATATTCATGGTATGTGTCTCCGTAACTAATACCTCGCATAGTGATATGAAAATTTACATACATTAGGGTGGAACACACCTAAAAAAATTGCACTTTTTCGCAGATTGGATGGAAAAAAGGTTCGTTTTAGAATTCGCGGAATATAGTTTTTAAGCAGTTCAGCATCATTCAAGAGCTAAATGTAGACTAGCTTCGACTGGCTTTTCCATAACATCTCACATAGACCGTAAATTGATCCTTAGTGTTCTCAAGAAAGTGGAGGTCAGTTTGTTTTCTAATCTAGTGTGTGAGAAGAAGAAAACATAGCCAAGATTCCTAAGTAGTAGATTCCGAAATCGAGGCTGTGATGCTACCTAAGATATTCTAGTGTGCCTTTGGACTTACATTTGTCACATATCATGCATTTTTCAGTCTGTGTCAGTCCTAGCTTTAAGGTATGAAATGGTGTAAGACAGTATTCTGTACCTTGGCAATCCAGCCTAGGAAATGTTTGAATATATTTGGCGATTGCAGGCTGTTTACGATTTCGGCTTCGAAGTCATTGCTGCGTTTAATTCAGAATTAAATAATGGTGATACATGTGGACGCTTGCTGTGTTATCCAGTGGTATTTTCCTTGGCTTCTCACTAGCATATCCCGAACATTCCCTTCCATTCCTTTGTGCGCTGTTTATAGTGACTCAACTATTAAGGCGCAGTTCGCGAATTCGGTTTATAGGTTAACGCAAGGAATGTTTGTCATTGTAGCCATTGCTGATCTAATTTCGGACTAACTGGACCTAGATTTTCCGTAAAATCAGCTGCTTTAGTTGCAGCATGGATCCCATAGATCTTAGAAAATTTTGTAGTAGTCCCGAAGCTGCAGACAAATTTCAGAAGCTTCCAAGTTTTTACTACTTCCAGACCCAGATTGTATCGTAGTTCCTCTTAGGCATTGAGACTTCTCTTCTACACTCAGCCTCCATGCCAATTTACTATCCGTAACAACTCCTAGATTTGCGTAAATAATTTACACGTTAGAGTACTATTACTCAGCTGTAGTGCAAACCGAGATTATCTTACATTCCTTAATACTTTCCCTCAAATAGTAGTACCTAGGCCCTCTCATCAGGATTTATTAGAGCCTCACCTCTCTGCTCCAGTTCTTTCTCTCTTATCCAGTCTTTCAATTTTCGCTTGAAAATTTCACTCATCGGGGCTAGACATCCACCAGAAATGGTAATGGCTAGATCATCAGCATACGAATTGATTCTAGAAGCGCTACCTCTTATTCTGATTAATATCTTGTTGATTATAAGCACCCACGTGATTGGGTAAAAGAAGCATACCACCCTACACTCAGAAAAAATACCAAAAAAACTTGATACTTAAATCATGGCCTTGTCAAGGATTTCGGTAACAAAAGTTCAGTTGGTTCAAAAAATTTTAAATGGAACTAGAAATTCTAATTTTAAGATTTTTTCTTGGCCACAAATCCTGCTTTCATGTTTATTGATATTTTTGAAAGGCTTAGGACTGAATATATTTTAAAATTTTAGGAACAAAAAGTGAAAAATTTTATCCTGTCGGATTTGCTTTTACATAGAATAGAATAGAATAGAACAGAATTTTTCTCTGCGTGTAGCGAATGCCTCAGGGTACGTTCACACAGTAAGCGGGCCCGAGCCGAACAAAGCCGTTCCGAGCTGAGTGAAGCTTTCAAATCGCTGTAGCTATATGAAAGTGTTCATACATCAAGCTTTTTCATAAGCGCTTTGGAGCTGAAAGCAACGCAGTTTTAGATTTTGAATTATTTTATTAAGCTTCTCTAGGCGAAAGAGAAACAGTTTTTTTTTCTGTAAATTACTTCCTTTGGAGCATGTGGCACTCTAATGTGCATACTAGATGTGTGTTTGATGTGTGTATGTGTAAGCATAACTCCACCTCTGCCTGCAAGTATGTATTTATCTACTCCACTGAATGGCCTTTTAATTTTTCTGCCGTGAATTTCCGTGAATGACTAGTTGTTGTAAAGGATTTTGTTATCTCCTTTTTCCGCCGGATATGGTATGCCATAACTAATTTCCGTTTATGTTTTTTTTTTGTTCTTTTCTCTTTCCCCACACAGAAAAAGCTTCCGAATTGGGTTGGCCCTTAACACTGATTATCGTTTCGGTGATTTCGGCGTTGCTGGGCGCAATCATCATGGTGACGGTTGTACGTTGCCGAAGGTAAGTGAGAAATTTCGAAAATATTTCATATATACATGTTTGTATACATATGTATATTCGCTATACATAAATATGTATGTATGTAAAAAGAACTTGAATAAGCTTAAATACTTTAGCATAAATATTCTTAACCGAATTGTGGCATTCGTTTGGGGGTTACTTAGTTATATGTAAATATATAATAATGAAACTAATTAAGAAGGCTTAGCTACATTGTGATAGCAATAATAGCTTAGGTATTAACCCAATTGTGGCAATCTTGTCATGGGTGGATACATAACCTAACTTGATACGAGCTCCACAAACAAAATAACTACCTACTATCCGTTCATATTTGTCCTTAAGCAACTTAACGCTTTTAATGAGTCTAAACATGTCTGTCGCCTTGGCATTATTTAACCGCTAGGCAAATGCTGGAATACTAATATACAAATATGTAAGTATGTATGTATTATACACAAATTTGGGCGCCCAGCGTTTATGAGGGTTAGTAAAATTTTCATTACAGCATGGGAGATGTCCCTTGCTGAGCCTGTTTAGGAGGATTAGTAATTTCATCAGGTCTTAGTAACAGCTGACACAAACCAAACATTCTACTACAACTTACTCGTTTCGGGCACTACTTTCTGCCGTCGCTATTTTTGGCTCAGTTAATTGTGAAATAATGAATTAAATACTTATGACAGAAAGAGTTATAACTTAAATGGTATTTTGCATTAGCTTTCCTATCAACAAAACTAGTGCTAGGATGAACTTTTATTAAACATAACTCTAAACCGTACATAGGCCGGTATTGAAGGATCGAGGTCTGAAATTACCTAGGTGTAGTGGGATTTAGATAGATCTCCTAACCCTAGTGTAAGTACCTATGAAGCAGCTATCTATCTATTCAGAGCTCTGACGCATATAAGAAATTAATGCGAATTTCAACACTGCTAATTATTCTAACTTTTCATGTCCTATGTCCTTTCTGTTATCCGCAGAGACCTTCTTCTCTGTTATACTCTTTCATTTTAACTGTAATACAAATTATTACCTAACCATAGACCTCTAATTCACCTGCTGCTTACTTACTTATTTATTTCATAAACATTCCTCAGAGTTTATTAGTCTTACAGACTGGTTAGGTCAAACGGCCAGCTCTGCTTAAAGAGTTCCCACGGAGGCCGCAAAGGCACATTGTGATGCGAAGAAAAGAATTTGCCCAAACCTGTCCCTACATAACTTTAGATTAGACTTAAATGGCTGCTAAACTTAGAGGAAGCCAGCACACTAAGGCCCAGTCAAGGGCCCATTGTGATGCCACATGGATCCAAAACCCCTACTCCTTAAACCAATTTGTGAAGTGTATGAACCTTAGCCACTGCCATAATCCTATACCTGAGAATTTCTGTCTATTCCTGCATAGTGCAGGCTAATAACAGGGTAATTGCCTGATTGATTCAGGCTCTTCTTCGCCATGGCAGCTCTTGCAGTAGTGATTGTGGCTGACCCCGAGGCCTTCTGCATTGCTCTCGATCTCCGAATATTCCATTTCGGCCACGTAAGGTACGTTGTATTGCAGGTTTCAGCTGGTAGCCGCTCCACCAAGGAAAGGTTCCCTTAGTAAGAGCTTGCATGAAGCGAGAAGGATATCAGTTCCATTCCAGGCGGGTGAAAGTGGAATGAAAGTGCCCCCTCTTGCAAGCTCGAAGAGATATGTCCTTAATCCAACCTGATTTTTCGGGCTAAGCCCAATGGACCCATTAAAATAATTTTCCATAATTTGTCAAAGTTCTCGAAATTTTGTGGTACATTCGCATAAAGAGTACTGGGTGGAATCTATATCTTCCACATATCTACGGCTTCTACATATCTATGCCAGACTATTTTGGAGCTCTAGAAAACTCTGTGTTCTTCGCTTATCGGAGCGGCGGACAGATTGCACGCGATACAGTGTATGCACAGATTTGTTCACCTGCTGTTAGTAGCTGCTCCAGCAATCCCCTTAACTCTTGAAAACAGGAATCTCAAGGAAATCTATTTACTTTAAATTGTTTCGCCTTATTCTCTCATAGATCCTTTTCTCGCGCGCAGGTCTGCTTTCTCCATACCCCTATGTCCAGAAATCCAGCAGAAACTGACTTTATGCTGTCGGTATATCTAGTTAGTTGCTACCGACCCAAAGGTATTGACTGTAGCAGCTTGACTCTTCACAATGAAGGCGAGGTTTGATGGAATTAGGTCGCCCATGCAATTGCATATATCTCAACTTGGAATACGCTGCGGTAATCTGAAAATTAATAGTCCTATCTTAACGCTAGATCCTGCTCCAAAGTTAATATAAGAAGGTGGGTATCTGGTCATCGCCTAGAACTATATTTAGTTTCAAGTCACCTCATTCGCAAATATGGATTATGTCACTTAAAAATTTCCTTAAATGAATGTCAAAGGCGTTGAAAGCGTAGTTTATTATAACGGTACATACATACGTATATAGTAATAAATGTTAATATAATGAGAAAGATTTATTGGCAAATCCCACCATGACATTCGAAAAATACATTAGTTTTATATTGATTTCGTCCACCTTATGCTAGATTCATTAGTTTCAAAATCATTTACACAAACCATTGAACGTATTTTGAAACCCTTCCTTCTTTCTCTCTCTCTTTCTTTGCAGAAAAAAGCCGTCGAACAACCGTAATGGTAAGTGTACTAAACTAGCAGATGACAATGCAAGTTCCTATCACGAACACCACCAACAACTCCAATATGACCAACACCTCAACCACCACTATCCACACCAACACCAACTCCACCACCACCACCACCATCACAACCTCAATCAATATGTACACGAACACCACCACTTGTATCCCAATGCCTATCGTAATCTGCACGTCCAGTATCCGTTGCCCAGCCACCACCATACCGTCACGCCAACACAAAAACAAAAACGTGCACCACAAGCGCTGCCCTTGCAATATGTCAGCAACAGTTGTTCCTCCTCATCGCTTACCAACGACAGCCAGAGCACGCAACGCACCAGCTTGTCCACCATCTATCGGCCACCCAGCTACTACAGCAGCGCTGCGATGATAGGCAGCGGCAGCGTCGGCGTCGGCACAAACGCACTAACGAAGGCCGCGCAAAGGCAAAAATTACTAACGCAACGTATTGATATGTTTACGCGCTCCTTGCCACCACCGCCATCACCACCAACAACGCGGACGCTTGGCGCGGCAGCTGCGGGTAGTTGTATCAGCATCGCGAGTGGTAGTAGTGCGAGCAGCAGTAGAAGGGCCGATGTAGAGAGCATTGGCAGTGACAGTTATGCGCCCTCCTCGGTGGCGTATGAAGAGCCAACAGCACTGGATATTATCGCTACGAGCGACGAAGAATGTACTGCGTCCACAGTTGAAGCGGCGGTTATGGTGGCTGCGCGCGGCACGTCAGACAAATTTTGAGCGCTCCTTCCCCCGTTCACAGTTACAATCAGTACAAAAACAACAAACTGAATAAATTAAGAATTTATGCATTTACCCTGAAACTACTACAAATATCTCTCTCTTCTTAACATTCTTCTCTTTCCCCTCGTTCCGCGTCCCACGATTTCTGCGCACATTGGCCAACCAACATAGAAACGCACGTGCAATGGTGGTCACGCAACAAGCGTTCGAATGGCAGCAATAACAACAATCACTTGCGACGTAGCAATATTTATACAGCACACCCAGCTGATAGTATACGTGGCCTGCAACAGCCATCGCTTTCGGCGGCCTCATCGCTTACCACAATGACCGCAATGGGCGCATCAGCGGCACCCCTCCATTCCGCCGCGGTCACACCGAATGCAACACAGCCGCCACAGCTGCCACACCAACAACAACAACAACAGCAGCAGCAGCAGCAGCAACAACAACAACAACAGCAACAGTACTACCACCATCCATATCATCAACATGCGCTTCAAAGCTCGCTACACCGCAGCCTAAGCGGACAACATCAACGCGCGCCCGACTACGAATACGAGCATGAATACCATCAACCACAGGAATTGCAATTACAGTTGCAGCACCAACGCCAACACAGTTCGTCTATGTCATCGGTGTCCGATTCGCCGACATTGCCGGTGGCAAATAGCAACAAGCCGAGGCCAATGCAATTGCAACATCAGCCGCTGCAACACCACCATCAACAACAGCAGCAGCAGCAGCAGCAGCAGCAGCAGCACGGTACACTCAGCAGTGTGGCCGATGGTGTGACAGTGGGCTTTGGTGGCGGTATGGTTGGTGGTGTGAGCCGTCGTGGTGCGTCTGAATTGTGTGACGATTCGTCATGTCGGTGGCCCAACGCAACAATTGTGGTGGCCAGCTGAGTAGAAGCGTACAAGTGCAATAGGCCGGCGACGTTGAGTGGCGCAATGACGTTGCTGCCAGTGAATCCATATCGGGATCATTATCAGAAATACCAGCAACAGCAGCAGCAGCAGCAGCAGCAGCGTGTAGTCGTCGAGCCATCGGAATTTGTATGGACGAAATCATGCAGCTCCGAACAGCTAAAGAATGACTGGATATGGCATTGAGTGCAGCTATGGGGGTATGAGGATGACGATGCAATCAGCGGTGAAATTTTGTAAGCATTAAGCATAGACAAAGGATCGTATGGTCGCAACGAGTAAACTTTAAGTAATACACATACATACATACATATGTATGAATGTGTATGTAGTTGAACTTTTGGGGCATTGGTAGGGATAACAAAATCAAGTGAGTTGTGCTATCAATGTGACAATCGTGTAAAAAGGCCGGCTTGGGTTTATGTATACGTCGGTTCCGGAAATGTGCCGCAAGGAGTGAAAATAATGAAAACAGTTTTGATAATTGAATTTAACCAACATTCGTTGCGGTTTAAAAATCTAGTCCTATTAAAAGCTTCCCTAAATATCTGATCCTTTTTCTTCTTCAGTTGTACGGTTACTCAAAGAAATATACATTTTGAGCTATTTAGATCTGGTCTGAAAGATATTGTGGCTATTTGTACATATTCTACATTTCTATATTCTACAAAAAAAAAAACGAAAAAAGCTTTCACAAATCATTGCCTCGCATGACCACCAGAACGCTTTTACATAACTCTTCTTTCCTTTGGATTAGTTATTCAAAAAAACTTGGTCTTTAGACCCAAAATTAGTTTCATTATTGAGGCATTTTAAAGTGCTCTTTTAGGCCTGCATACCTGCATGCATACTGAAATTTAAAATTAAATTTTATGAAATTAAATGAATTTTTTTTTTAATTTCGCCGATAAGTTTAAAACCCAAGGTTTACTTTTTATGTTGCTTGATAACAATTATTGGTCAACATTTATTTTTTTTCTTGCTTGATAACAGTTATTATCCAACGTTTATATTTTAAGTTGTAAGATAAAAACATTAACGAAAACGGAGATGGAAAAGAAGATAAAAATGATGAAAATAAAAGAAGAGTAAATAAGTGTTATCAGACAAGGTAAAAATATACGTGGAGTAATAACTGTTATCAAGCAAGGTAAAAAATAAACGTTGATTTATCAAGCAAGGAAAAAAGTAAAGGTTGGGAAATAACTCTAATTGACGACAGAAAACAAATTTATCCTGCATAACAGTTATGAGGAACGGAAAAGGTTAACTCTTATTCGCGAAATAAAAAATATTTCTCATCTAGTAGCTGTTAGGGAGCTGCGTTTTTCAGATAAAACTTATGACTGTTATGTCGCTGCTAAATACAGCTCCTTCGCATTGAGACTACAAGAGTCAGGAGAGTACTTTTTTTTGAAATATTATTCTCTCTGGAGTCGATTTTAAATGGAATAGTAACAACAACGAGGCTAGACTTCAATAAGGATATGTCAGTGAGGTTCAGACTCACTATAGAGAGTAGAGCGCAGCAAGTTGGTCTTTAGCAGAAAAATGTATGACGGAATGTTTCTCAACATCTATGGTCTAGTAGGTTAAACTGGAAAACTTTTATGCCGCAATTTTGACTCGTTTATTTATTCGGTTACTGCTCAACAGTTCCGCTGTCTTCTGTTTGGCTTATACATGGTTAGTGCTACAGTTGTCCCGCAACTAAAAGAACTTATCATGATCGAGCTCTGCGCAAAACACCGCCGCGCCTAGGCCCTTGTCCATCTATTAACCCATCTCACGCCAGCCTTCGATCTCTATAATTGCTGCAAAATTCATCTAGATCCAGGATCGGAAGTCAATTCTTTCAGAAAGAGTTAACGCTATACCATTGTGACTGTAGGACCTGGATGCAAACTTTGCCGTAGCATTGAGCCTGGTGGCAGTTTTAACGCTATTTTCTTGGCCGACAGTTCCGCTGACGGAAGATGCAACGAGGTTAGTCTAAATAAAAGAAGAATAAGCTCTTCTGATAACATTTATTTTTCTGAGAGCAACAGCTGAATGTTCGTGCTATATACTATATAGACCCTGCTTTTATAATTGGATCGTAAATAATGAAATTCGTTCGTAAAGCCTTAGTATGAAATTTCGAAAAAAGGTAGACGATTTTAGAAGAAAAGATGACCATCTTTTTAGGCTTGAAATGAGACTCAACTTGTTGGTTGCAAAGGAAATATTAGAAAGCAGCTGATGTACCTTTAAGGCCCCTCCCAACACCAGGTGATCCCCCTGGTCATAAAAAAGGAACACTCTCTGTTTGCCTGGTATTAGTAGCAAGATCAAAGTCACTGTTATCTAAATATTTCAAAGCGACAGCTGCTACAGTTGGCAAAGCGATTATCATCCACTTGAACTAAATTAGTCGGTTATTTTTCACAATATGTGCTAATTATATAGAAACAAAAGCATAAAAGCAACAAAATAAGTACCCCGCTGTGACACAGTAACCGCCGGTAATCAGCGGCTGCTAAGAAACGCTTGAAATTTAATGCCACAAAAGTAGATAGATACATATTATACGAAATGCACTTGAAGGATACACACATACCAATTACAATCTGCCTGAAAATGTAACCATATCTTGCCAACAACCAGTAGGCGCCTAATTAAATGTCTTACTTATTGATTGGTAAAACCAATTGATACTGATCTCTTTCGCAAAGCCACTTGTTAACAAGCTGACTACACAATAAGCCAGGCGACACTCTAAGTATTTTATAGACATATGCGCACACTCTTCTACATACATATGTATGCTGACATTTCCATCAATGTTTCTTAGAAACTTGCTTACTTCAAAACAGTCCTGAGAATATAAATAAATGTTTATTGGCTTAGGAGCCACTTTCGACATGCACTACTTGGAATTGTTACGTGTTTATACAGTAAGGGCATACAAAGTAGCAAAGTTGTTGTTTTTTTTTTTCGTTTTCCAATTTTTCAAATTCTCTATAATTCCAACAGCGCACAACAATCCACTTTAAATTGCACCCATAAGAACCTTAAAATCTCTCGCAATCCCATCTGTTTTCTTTTTGCTCCCTCTCTCTCTCTCTCTCTCTCTTTCGCTCTTCATCTCCCCCTTGGCATATCATACAAATTATCTGCAATCAAAAATTCTAAGCACACGTTCACAGTCGCAATTTAACGATGGTATCATGGCAAGACATAATCCTTAAAAATACTTCAATGGAGACAAATACTTCAACCAGCCAGTATGCGAGTGTACGTGCGTGTGAGTGTGCGTGTGTGTGTGTGTCAATGCCAATAGTCCTGCAGACTGAAAAGTAGTAAAAGCCGTAGTAACCATTGGCCGACTGGCGACACACGCTGATTTTCTGGCGCGCATACATACATACATGCTCGCATGCCTTCCGGTGCAAGTGCAATTGGTGCTCGCTCGATTCCTGTGAAGTGTTGGAGGAGAGATAAAAAATGAGAATTTCCACAAAGCAAAAAAATAAAAATAAAAATAAATGTTGCAACACAGCATGCTATGCGCGCCGCATACGAGTATGTGTGTGTTTTTTTTTTTGTTTTTTTGGCGTCCACAACAGCAATGACATCAGCATGTCAGTCACGTTTCGTCCTTTGTGAGCGCGCTACGTCTACAAATACTGCATATGTATGTATATATGTATGTATGCACACTTACATACGTTTATGCACATGACTGACTACGGAGCAGGAGCTCTGCAGTGGCAGTGAAAGATTCTATGCCGTTGAGTTTCCGCTGGATCAAAGTCAGCTCGAGCGACGTGCGAAGCCTTTGCAAAGGCTTTCGCGCAGGAAGTGTGAATTGGCCGCATTTCCGTTAGTTCGCAACTAGTTTGGAATAATGAAAATAAAGTAACAAGTTGGCTCGTTACATTTCCATCTTGATTAGCAGCACTTTTGCCAGTTTTCCCCATAACCAGCAGTTACACAATTAGATCGCCTTTTCTATGTAGCTTACTTCATTAGGGCACATCTATGTATGAGCAGCGAAAGGATTATATTTTTTTGCTGCAGCACTATTTATTAGTAGAATACGTGTCACGAAAATAACGAGTTAATAAGCAAAGGCTATAAGAGGGTGCTTAGGAAGCTTGTTATGAAATGCAGTGTATTCACTATATGCATTCAAATTTATCAGCGTCATCTTTATTGATAACTTGATGGACGTGTTATCGATAATTTATCGAAATTTTGTTTCGATGGTTTATCGATTGCCTATTGATAACTTTTTTTTGCATTCATCAATGACTTTGCGATACATTTATCGATAATTATCGGAAATATTTATCGATAACTTATAGATACATTTATCGGTATACGTTCATAAATAATGTTCTGTAGTGTTTTGTATGGTTCTATCGATAAAATTCGCTATTTCGTTATCGCTTTATTAATCGACAACGCTATAAGCAAATTTTAAAATAATATTACCTTTCTACTTTTAATTTAGTATTCTGCCGGCTCAAGGTAATCTTTTAAAAAATAAATGAAAGCACAAGTTTTCTTGTTTATTTTGTTTGCGATATGTTTCAGTAAAATACTAAATTATTATCGATTTCTTATCGATAAGTATAGTCCTTATTTAGTTCGGTATTTTTTTTATGATATTTATCGATATTTCGGTTTATGTCATTCACGATAGCTGTTTGATCGGGTTTGTATTCACATTCGCATTCGTTTTCAAATTTGCACTCAGAACAACTTAACAACAGTTTAAAACTTTACTCTTCTAAACACATACACATGTACATATGTACTATGTAGGTATGTTTCACATCAATAATTTTTCTAACCGAGGCACGTACAAGCACCCCTGAGAGTCTTAGTCCACTTAGGATTTCAACATTTCGGTTTGATGGGCTATTTACACACACACACACTTACTTTTACACACACAGTCAGACAGACATAAAAAAAAAACTAAGGGTGACTTTAAAAATTTGCTGAGTGAGTGAAAATCTTAATCAACTGATAAGAAAAGGATCATTTATTACAAAAGTACTCATAGCTCTACGCGTTCAAATAGTAGCATGGATAAATGTCGGTGCTTGAGTTTCGTATATGTAACTACAAACATACAAATATACATATTTCATGAAATTATTGTACAAGTAAGTAAGTAGGTCAAAAATCATATCATGGCAATTCGCAATGCAGTGAAAATGAAATTTTTACAGCAGACAGAAAGTTGTAAACTCAAATTTATGTAAATAGCAATAAAAAAAAGGAAACGTTATAAAGGCGTAACATTGTTGTAATAAATAAAATGTAGAACAAAAACCCAAGCCAAACACAAATTAATCGATATATGAAAAGGTTGTTACAAAAGCTAATTTAGAATTAAAATATTGGTGTGTAAAAAATCGTAGAAAAAAAAATAAAAATAATGATATAAAAAATTTGGTCCAAGAAATGTTGTGCGGTAGAAGAGAATTTCAATTTAAAAATTGCGATC